ATGCAAGTATCAGGGGGTAGCCGTGTTAGTCTGTATCTACAAAAACAACAAGGAGTCTGGTGGCACCTTAAAGACTAACAGATTTATTTGGGCATAAGCTTTCGTGGGTAAAAACCGCATAGCATCCGAAGAAGTCCAGTAAAGCTGATGCCCAAATAAATCTGTTAGTCTTTAAGGTGCCACCAGACTCCTTGTTGTTTTTGTAGATACAGACTAACACGGCTACCCCCTGATACTTGACTCCGAACACAATGTCACTGCTTAGTGTGCAATATAGTACACCTCTACCCCGGTATAACGCTGTCCTCGGGAGCCAAAAAATCTTGCTGCGTTATAGGTGAAACCACGTTGTATTGAACTTGCTTTGATCCTCCGGAGTGTGCACGCCCCCCTTCCCCCCCGGAGCGCTGCTTTACCGTGTTATATCCAAATTTGTGTTTTATCAGGTCTAGTTGTATTGAGGTAGAGGTGTATTTCCTGTATTCTGTTCAGAGCAGATATGTGCTTGTGTGGTTAAATACCATTATTAGTTTTGCTTGGCTAAATATTTGACAGGGAACAATTTATCTTGTTTTGGCATGTCAGAAATTTAGTCATCTTTTTTTGTTTCCTTACTTAAAATAGTAATGTAGACAGTGCACAGAATGGATTGCTGCCTATGACACAAACTTAGAAGTTGATTGAAGTGCTAGTTTGTCTGTATGCAGATGGAATGAGCACAGAAGAAAATTGACCTCTTCTAATTAAGATTGATTGGATAGGCAGAAGGTGCTATCCCAACCATAAGAATAATTCTGATTTGGGATATTGAAATGCCAATGAAACATACACGAGGCCTAATCCCACTCCCAATTAAGTAAATAGAAGTAGGATCAGACCCATCATCGGGTAGGGGTGGGTGTGGGGGTGTGTTTCCTTAAAGTGAACATATTAATGTAAAGTACCAGAAAATAGATTGTAAAGAACAATCTTACATTACCTACATGATTTTATAGGCCTTTTCCATCTCTAATTTTTATGATAGAAGCGTAGTCCTCTTTCAAAGTTTTATAGTCTGCTATGTGTTAATTTCTAAATTTGGGTTGCTATTTGAATAATCCATGGTATGGAATTTTGTTTGTTTAAAGTGAATATTTATAATTGAGTCATAATATTCGGAGGGCTTCTGGTGATTACACTAAAGTTTCAAAGAATGAAGTCTGTCAGGGAGAAAAGTACATATTAGAATCTGTCTTCCCATTATTTTTAATAACTAGTTTAAGTATGCATTTTCAGCTGTTGGGGACAGAACATTACTGTTTGCAGCTAGTGTTGATTTATTGACTTTTACAATTGTTGGCTTGGTCATTTCCCTACAGAAGGGATGTGGACAGATTGGAGAGAGTCCAGTGAAGGGCAGTGAAAATTATTAGGGGACTGGGGCACATGACTTATGAGGAGAGGCTGAGGGAACTGGGGTTATTTAGTCTGCAGAAGAGAAGAGTGAGGGGGGATTTGATAGCAGCCTTTAATTATCTGAAGGGGGGTTCCAAAGAGGATGGAGCTAGGCTGTTCTCAGTGGTGGCAGATGACAGAACAAGAAGCAGTCTCAAATTGCAGTGGGGAAGGTCTAGATTGGATATTAGGAAACAGTATTTCACTAGGAGGGTGGTGAAGTACTGGAATGGGTTACCTAGGGAGGTGGTGGAATCTCCATCCTTAGAGGTTTTTAAGGACTGGCTTGACAAAGCCCTGGCTGGGATGATTTAGTTGGTGTTGGTCCTGCTTTTAGCAGGGGATTGGACTAGATGACCTCCTGAGGTCTCTCAGTCCAATCCTAATATTCTATGATTCTATTATTTGGATTTCCAATATTTCTGAGCATAATGAAATCAACTTGGGAAAGTGTTCAGAACTGTATATCCTGAAAAATGTAATTCACAGTAAGCTAACAAACAAAGCATGAATTCAGTTTCTACTAAAACTCACCCAGAAAGTTCAGATGACTTTCTAAACTAAGAATAACTTCTGAGGCGTTTATCACGGTCACCAGAATCATAAACTAAAAGTACAGCTTTATATCTGTATGGTGTGTTTTGTATTTTATTTGTTAGTTACAACTTTGAAATATTTGAGAGAGAGAGAGAGATTTCCTGCTCAGACTCTGGCCATCATTCTCGTTCCATTCTGCCCTTTTCTGTTCAGATACTGAATGATGTAAGCAGCACTGTATTGTACAATAAATAGGTTATTTTAAAATTAACTTTCCAAGTGTATAATTCCTGAGCTGGTCAGTGAGACAGACAAAATCATTCTGTTTACAAATTATTTAACGTTTACAATACTATTTGGGTACGTGTAGGTACACCTCCCCCTCTCTGCTCAATGGAATGTTTGTGCCTACATCCTGTAGATCAGATTGTGAGCCCCTTATTTTAAACTGGTGATCAGTGAAAATAAAATCTGAATGAAGTGTAATTTCCCCTGAAATAGAACTACTGAGTGGAACTACTCATGTGAGTAACAGTTCACCAGTGTAAATAAGAGGCTCACAATCAGGCACTCTGAGCGTAAGGCTTAGTATAAATGAAATAGAAAAAAAAGAATAGAATAAAATCCTAAAATAAGTTAACAATTTTTTTCCCTTGTAATGAGTTGTACAGTGCTCATTTTTCAGGAATTTCACTGTATTGTACTGTGATTTTTAGCGAGATAAGGTCTAATATAGACACTGTTTAGGAAATACTAACAATTTTTCTCCCCACTAGATTTATTTCAAAAGTTGAAGAAGTTTTGAATGACTGGAAACTTATTGGGGTTTCTTCAGGCAAGCCCCTAGAAAAGGTCAGTTTAATTGCTTATGAAATTCTGTTTTATAATTGGAAATGGCATGGTATAATATATAGTGTGCATTCATATTTACACTTCAAATTTCCTTGTATTTGGCAGACTAAAGTTTGAGGTTACTTGCAGCAAGAACAGTTTTCAATGGGAATTTTACTTGCAGAAATGAATCTGTGTGGTCAAAATTAATTATAAAGTTATGATTGGGAGAAATTTTCTCCCAAGGAAATGTTATATTGGTAATGAGTAGACCTTTGTGTGCTCCAGTGTTCTTGTTCCTGGGTTCAGAGTGGGAAAGGTGTTGTCCAGATTCCCATTTCAGTTCTCAAGTATCTCTGTTTTTCCTCCACTCCATGGCACTTAACCTTTATGATGCATGGATAAAAGTGTCACAGGACTCCTCAGAGCTAGTCAGTATTTCATTACAGAGGATGCAGTTGTGGCTGAGGCACTCCACTCACCCTAAGTATTTTTTAGGCCTTGGCTACACTTGCAGCTGTACAGCGCTGTGAGGTAAACCTGTCTTCGTACAGCTGAGTAGGGAAAAGCGCTGCAGTCTGTCCACACTGACAGCTGCCAGCGCAGTGGTGTGGCCACACTTGTAATATTTGCAGCTGTGTTGGGAGTGGTGCATTATGGGCAGCTATCCCAGCATTCATGTGGCTGCAACCTGCTTTTCAAAACGGGGGGGTGGGGGGTGGAGTGGATTGTGACAGGGAGTGTGGGGGGAGAGAGAGTGCTTTTTGGAGCATGTCAGCTCTCTATTTTGCAAGTTCCAAACTCCTGGCCCCCTGCTCATTCGTTTACTTACTCAAAGCAAGCTGCAAATTGTTTGCTTTTCTCTGCAGTACGAGCTTTGAAACCAGCACTTCCGCATTCCTGCAGCCAGTCACAACAATGGAGAGGATTGGCCTCTTGACAAGGTGATTAGTACAGTGCTGCAAGCGTTTACACTCACACCTGTGAGTCATAGCCATTCCTCTCGGAGATGTGGAGTACCTGCAGCGGTGTACCCAGGGAGATACAGCGCTGTGCAAGTGCCCTGCCAGTGTGGACGGGGAGTGAGTTACAGCACTGGGGGAGGCTTTACAGTGCTGTAACTTGCAAGTGTAGCCAAGGCCTTAGACTTTGAGGATGTCTACAAAAACAGTGGCGCAGCCGAGAGCTCTTCCGTTTGCATAATAAAACAACCTCAGTGAACGTCAGAATCTGTGTCAGTAAGGGAAGCTCTTCTGTCAACATAGCACTGTGCACACGAGTGCTTATGTTGGTGTAACTTGTGTCATTCAGGCGGTTGGTTTATTCACACCCCTGAGTGGCATAACTTATGTTGACATAGGCTGTAGTGTAGACATAGCCTGAGTCTTTGCAGCCTTCCTTCTCTGAGCCCAGGACACCACACAGGAAACTACCCAGATATCCTGCATAGCAATGCAGAGAAATTCTTCTGTACTGGGTGGGCTGGCAGCTAC